AAAAAGATACAAATAAGCTAGATGTCACAAAATGGAACATAAAAATAAACATTTTACAAAGATCAGTGCTAATGATGGACAGGGACCAAGGCGTATAACTAATTAAACCCCATAATTGAAAAACTATACTTTTGCGAGGTTCAGGCTTATTTAGATGTGGGACAGGTAGGGAGGGACCAGTAGAATTTTACCTACCCAGAAGCTCTGGAGCACTTTGGAAAACAAGCTCTAAAGAAATAGAGAATATCAGGCTTGTAAGTTTTGTCTCAGGGCCTGGAGCCACTGCATGTGCTGTGGGCGTCTGTGGGTGGTTCAGGGTGGGACAGTGGTGGTCACACAGACCGCCCTGCAACCTGAACCTGTAAGATGTATGACTCAGCCTGAGACAGGAAAAGCTACAAAAGAGACTTCATGGCAGGCAGACCACCCTTTTTTTGTGTGCGTTCCTCCAGCACCCAAGGAGGATGCCCTGCAGAGACCCAGGGTAGCCAAAGGTTGATATCTTAAGAACACAGTTACTGAGGGATTGGCAGACTAAGTAGTACCTTCACAGATTGGCTGGGGACAGGAATGATGACACTCTATGAAGAGCTATAAAACCCAGAAAAGCACTGATTTGTGAGTACTGCCAGATTTGACTTTCTACCTCAGTTGTAATTTAGTATATCTCATTTATAGATTGTGGTAGGTAGACTAACGGTCCCTCACAGATGTCCTTGTCTGAATCCCAGAACCATTGACTATATTCTATGGCAAGGGGGAGTTAAGTTAGCTGTACTAGAAGATTTTTCCGAGTCATCAGAGGGTTCAGTGTAATCACAAATGTCCTCCTGGGTGGGAGGTGGAGACACAAGAGAGCCTGAGGGAGGGTTGGCAGTGAGAGAAAGGCCCAGCTGGGTGGTTCTGTTATGGAGATGTAAGAAAGGCCTGGGAATTAAGGAATGTGGGAGACCAGGAAAAGACAAGGAATGGGTTTTTACTCAGAACCCCCTGCACAAAAGGAACATGGCACTGTGGGTACTTTCCTGTGAGGACCATTTTGGACTTCAGAGTTCCAGAACTGTAATGATTTGGGCTGTAGAGTGGCCAGAGGAAACCAACACACAGTTGCGCAGTTAACTAAGTCACAGGAAGACCTCATGGAAGTTAGCTGAGACTTTACAAAGGAGGAAGATGTTGAACAAAGTAAGGGGATGATTATCAGAAGTAGGAATGGGATCAACAGGAATACTGAGAACCACAGTGGGGAGTGGGAGGAGGAACTGCGGCCAGTGGGTATACGACTTGCCTAAAACATATGTCTCTGTCCTTTTAAAACAGATCATTAGCTTCTTTGATGTTGGTGGCTCTGAGGTAGGGATAGTGAGCAAAGAGGGATGAGTAAAGTCAATACAGTACCCATTGTCATAGAGCTAGCGACCTCGTGTGGCTGGGACTGGACCCAGGTTCTGGAGTCCCACTTCAATACATGATTCTGTGTCACAGAAGTCAATCAGGTCGGTGAACCGAGCGGCTGCTTCTTTTTTGTTCAGCGTCTTAGTGAGGCTGCAGTGGTTGCAGCTTACAGAGCATCACCATGTCGCCCAAGGACAAGAAGAAAGATGCCAGAAAGTCAGAGCAAGTCTGGGGGCAAGGTCAAAAAGAAGTGTTCCAAAGGGAAAGTTGGGGACAAGCTCAACAACCTAGTCCTGTTTGACAGGCTCTGTAAGAAAGTTCCCCAAGTATAAACTTATTACCCCAGTTGTGGTCTCCGAGAGACTGAAGATTCCACGAGGACAACCCATCAGGAGCTAAGAAGCAAAGGACTTATCAAACTGGTTTCAAAGCACAGAGCCCAAGTAATTTACAGCAGAAACACAAAAGGTAGAGATACCCCAGTTGCTGATGAAGATGTCTCAACAGATTCAACCAACTGTACACTTGGAAAAATAAAACTTTATTAAATAAAAATTAAACAAATGAACAATTAGAAAACGAAAAACAGCTCTCACTACTTTGACATCGTTTTCCTAGAGTCAGGTGCCCTGTCCTCACAGCTCAGCTTACCTCTTTCTAGAGTTATTCCATCTGATTATGGTCCAGGGGGGTGGAGTTCTGGTTTTGGATATAGTTCTGGGTTCAGCTCAGTCCCTCCTTTATTTTCCCTATGTGAGCCTTGACTCCCTCAGCTGAAGCGTCAGACAGTGTTTGGGGAGATCGGTGATAATGAGTATACAATGTCCGACACAGAGCTGATCTTTAAATGGGACCTTTAAAAAGTCTCATAGTTAATTTTCTTGTTGCATGTCAAAGAAAATCTTTAAAAAAAATCAACAAATCTTAGGCTATGCAAATCAAATATAAAAGGTGTTATTTCACCTCTTTTACAAAAGTACATATGATGGAAATATTGCATTTGGGATAAGAAATGATTATGCTGCCTCACTGTAGCATTTAAATGAATCCTTTCAGAAATACTTGCATAGCACTTGTGCCAAAGGAAAAAAAATTCGATTTTATAGGAAAGAGCTAAAGCCATTACTTTTATGAAGCTTTATAAATGTCATTCAAACACACCATCTTCTTTTCATTTGCTATTGAAGCCTTTACTTATGCAAATCATGACAAATGTTAAGCAAACCAGTGTTTCTCCTGGAATGCTAATAGTACCACAAAGAAAGGAGGAAGAATTACTTCTGAAGGAAAAATCTACATTGTAGCTCCTCCAGTCAGATAAAAATGAAGCTTCCAGAAAACCTCATTAATTAGGGCTTTGCTCATTTAGATATTGTGTTAAAATGCAAAGGGACTGGAAAGTATTTCCTTTTCATTCGCAGAGGGAAAATTATTCGCATAAACATAATTTCAGGGGAATGTTACTTCTTGACTGATTACATAAAACATTTAGCTTTTGGGCATCTTATGGTACTTTGCAATTATTAATTTTATTTATCAGTTTATTTCTTCACTCCTTAATTTAGACATTTGCTCATATATTCATTTGTTTGGTCACATTTTCACTCATGTATTCATCCAATAACCATTAAGAAGCTGCTATGTGCAAACTGCTACTGTAAGCATTGTAGGAGAAAGATAAATTGGGCGAGAATGCTGTCTGCAAGGAGTTCAGTGTGAGGCGGACAACAGTGTCCACCTGAAAAGTACTCAAAGGGTACGATGGTAGCCTGATGACATGCCTCAGATGATGACATCCCCATTCCTCACACCTAGAAATGACAGATAATGTGTCAAAACATTAACTGTACTGAGTGCCATTCTTGGGTAAGACACTTGAGGGATTCCTAAAAGTTGAGAAGGCAGATGGAATTAGATTAAAGGAAAAGATCATAGTCAACAACATACAGTACAAAATGTCGCCATGGCCGTGGAGTTTTGGTGATCTGCTCTAAGAAGGCAGCTGACCAATAGGCTGTGTGATGGACTGAGGAACAGTTGGAGGAGTACCCAGGCAGGTTCTCTCATCCCACTTCCTTGGTATTCGAGTCTGACCTCTGTGGAGAGGAGAGGGAACATGACCCCAGGAACTTCTCATCAGGAGCTGATAGGAACAGTCCTATTCTGGAGACTTGCTACCTGACAGCATAATCTCACCTCACTCTCCCTCCGGTCTGTTGCTCTCTCAACCTTAGAGATTCTTTTCATCAAACATCTGATCAAGGAGCCAGCATGCGATTAATCAGATTGTTCCACACTGGAATTAAGATGAGTCAGAGCATGGGTCAAGACTATTCTCAACCACAAGAAAGCTGAATTTAGGGAAATAGAAACTAAGGGGTGGCTAAAAATGATGCAGATTCAGAGAGAAGCAGAGAAAGGAGAAGAGAGAAAGAGGGAGGGGGGAGAAAGGAGAGAGGCAAAACAAGTGGGAGGGAGGAAGAGGAGGAGAGGAGACAGATGATTTTCTAGTTCCCCTGGACATCCAATCAAAGGTGTGTCCTAGTAGTCCCATGAGACTTCCTTCTCTCAGTGTCATAAATTGTCCTTCTTTCAAAGTTTAACTTAATGGACTTGTCTTTTTCACTCTTAAAGAATCTCCAGTTAAGACATTCTGATTCCAAGGAACACTGTCCCAGTTACATAGTAAGATAGCTCTTGGCAGTCTTGATATTTTCTTCTCCTTCTACTTTTAATATCAGTACAATTGTGTTTATAGGTGTGAATCCTTTGGGAATATGAAGAATCAGGTCTGTCACAAAGAAGTTAAGACTACTTTGGTCCTTTCCTTTATATAGTTCATCTGACCTGTTCCGTGGCTATTCCTTAAATTCTGGATGCACAGAAAAAGAATTCTAGTGTAAATATGTCTTAAATATTACATGGGACACACATACCACAATTTTTATTGGTTATCTATGAGAAATTCTAATTTAGCTAGGGATTCTGTCTCTGTTAAATCTTACACCCTATCTTCAGAGGGGTTAGCACTCCTTTTGAATTTTTTTCACACTGTAATTACTTCGTATTCTTCTCATACAACAATTATTTGTTGACTAGTCCCTGAGGATGACAGAGGGAAAGATTACGCTTTCTTTTCCTCTGTATCTCTGCATTCTAACACAATGCCTGGAACAAATGGTTTTAAATACAGCAGAACTTGCAATTCTCAGACTTGATCTGCAAAGTCTGATTGAGGCCAGCAGTCCTATCTTTGGTCCTGAGTTAATCAACTTTCTGGACTTTGAGAGAGAAAGTCAATCTGTAATTTCTGCTGATCATCCTAATCAAGCCAAGTCCAGAACCTATCGGGGAATTCCATCTGAGGGGCTGGTGAGATGGCTCAGTAGGTAAAGGCACTTGCTGCCAGGCCTGACAACCCGAGTTTGGTCCCCAGGAAGAAGGAGAAACCTTTCTCCCAAGTTGTTTTCCAGTCTCCACATATACGCTGAAGCATGTGTGTGTTCATGCACACACACTAAATAAATTTTAAAATGTAATTAAAAATTTTTAAAGTTCAAGAAACTATAAAAGTAATTTCCATCTGGGAATAAACGCGCACAGACCTTGCAGATGTCACTCCACTGCCCAGGACCATTTTCATTGATGGCTCTAACTTTGAACAGATACTCAGTGTTTGGGGTCAGGTTATGTAGCTCGAGACTCTGCCGCATTATGTCCCGAATTTGTCCAGAGAGCTCTGTCTGCACATTGTTAGGAGGGGTAGTAATGACTTCATAGAATTCCATCTCAAAAGAATCCACATCTTCTGTTGGGCATGTCCAGTAAACCTAGGGAAGTAAAGCATATATGAGCCGGGCACCAGTACACACTACTCTGCTGTCCTTCCCATAAAGATCCATGCTGTTGATTGTGAATTTAAGCTGATCTTATCTTCTGTAGCTGCTAAGACTTTGGATTAGACTGTGTGTGATAGTTTTGGAAAACTACAAGAGGATGCCTGGTGTGATAGGTGCAATGGATTTCAGCAGCAGAGGAATGCTCTTCTTGGTGCTGTTACTGCTAGTCAACCTGGAGGCAATGATGATAGCTACCATTTACTGAATACCTATTATACATCAATTCCCACGTCAGGCACTGCCATCTCTAAATCATGTAATCCTTATGCTCCCCTGGAAGGCAGATTTCATTACCCCATTTTACAGGCTCAGGAAGGATACATTTAGCGAATTCCAGAAGAACCACAGAAGTCAGGGAAGTGAAAAGCTTGTCTATTCCAGCCATTTATAGTGCTATGGAATGTAAAATAGTTCCTTCTTTATTCATGGGGAAATATCCAGTAATGAAGACGGTGTGTTCAAACCCAAACCATAAAATAGCAACTCCTGGGAAGAGATTTATTAACAAGTCTCAAACATAAGATACTATCTGGCATATAGTTTATTATCATAAGCATTTTTTACATTTATTTATTGCACATATGCATATACACATATACACACAGGCATGTGCATATGCCATGGAGTGTGTGTAGAAGTCAGAGGGAAACTTATGGGAGTCAGTTCTCTCCTTCTACTATGTGGGCGCTGGGGATTGAACTCAGGTTGCCAGGCTTGGTGGCAAGCACACTTACTCACTGAGTCATCATGATGCACCTAAACTTTTATATATATATATATATATATATATATTTATATATATATGAAACAATATTTTTAAAGGAATGTTTATAATGCTTTTATTAGATTTTTATGATAAATTTAAATGTTATACAATTAATGGACAATTTTATGAGTACCACATTTTACAAATAAATTTATAAAACTTAATAAAATTAGCTTATTTTCATTCTGATTATCAAAACAAACACATTCATGGTAATATACTTGGAACACGCAGAAAAAACACAAGGTAAGAAAATAAACATCACTTATAATCCACAAGTTAATTACAACTTTTTTCCTATTTCAGAATGAATGCAAACATATTAATGCACACAGTGGGATTGCATGGCTTCAAGTTCTTTTCTTCACTTATATTTTACATATTTTCTTATATCATCAAATTCAGTAAAACACCACCTTTAAAAAGTATTCCATAGTGACTAGAGAGATGGCTCAGCAGTTAAAGCACTGGCTGCTCTTGCAGAGGACCTGGGTTTGGTTTCCAGCACCTACATGGTGGCTAACAACCCTCTGTAACTCCAGTTCCAGGAGATTCAATGCCCACTTTTGACTTCCACAGGCGTTGCATGTGGTGTGTTTACATTCATGCACACAAAACACTCAAACATATAAACTAAAAATAAATAAATAAACCCACCAAAAACTGCTCCATAGTGGATGGGAGATGGCTCAGTAGGTAAAGGTGCTTGCCATCAAGTCTGAGGACATGAGTTTGATCCCTAGGACTCACACAGTGGAAGGAGAAAATTGACTGTCTCAAGTTGTCCTCTGATGTGAGTTGTGGTATGTGCAGGCATGCATGCATGCACACACACAATAAGTAAATAAATAAAGAAGTAAACAAATAAATAAATAATTTTAACAATTTTTAACTGCCCCAGAAATAACTGAACAGATATTTGTACTTGTGTGCTTGAACAGTTAGGTTTTTCTAATTCTATTCTCAAATAGACACAGCAATGTATACTTTGGACAGGACTGTTCATCTGAATTTTTTTGTTGTTTCTTAAGAAATGATTTCTAGGAATAAAATTGTGTTAAAAAGTCTCTTGGGGGGCTGGAGAAATTGCTCAGCAGTTAAGAGCACTGGCTACTCTTCCAGAGGACCCAGGTTCAGTTCCCAGCACCCACATGGTGACTAACAGCTGTCTGTAACTCCAGTTCCAAAGGATCTGACGCCTTCTTCTGGCCTCCATGGACATTACACACATAAGTGTACTTACATACACGTAGGCAAAACACACACCTAAAAATATTTTTAAAAATCTAGGATTTTGCAAATAACTGATAGGACCAATTTTAAGGATATCTTAGCAATTTGTAACTTATGTCAACAGAGACATAATCACTAGCATTCCAGAGTACCTTAATTCCCAGGCGAAGCCCATTTCATGAGCCTAGAACAGGGATCTGTGATTATTTTGCATTAATATGGATGTGTGGCAGTAGGTTAAGTGCCAGTGACTTGCCTGATTGTTTATTTAGGTAGGGTTCCTTCTCTCAAGTTCATCCAGGGATGACTGTTAGGCAGCACAGGTGGCTCCTCCAAATCTGAGTATAGAACAGACACCACCAACCCTTCTGCTTTACAGGGCCTGTGCACCCCCAAGAAGCCAGAATTGGCACTGAGATGAGCCATGCTGCCAGCCCTAGGCTGATCTGCTGCCACCTGTACTCTACCTCCTCCCGACCCCCGATTTAATGTCATTTGGAAATGGAATTCAGCTGCTTATTTACGGGTAACTCACATGAAGGTCAGAGACACATCATTGCATTTGATAGTCTCTGGGAGGGTATTGTTCTACTTGGCACAGTGTTTCCTGGTTTCAGTTTTAGCATTCAAAGCAAAGATTGTAATGTCTCAGTCGGATGGGAAGGTAAAGCTGGTCTGTACTTCTTTTCCTTGTGTTTAGATTCTACCTACTGAACACAGCAGCATTAACAACATGTGGCAGCTCATGAGAAACAGAATCTTAGCCTGCAATAAGCATAAAGAAACAGAATCTACAACCTAAGAAGGTAAAGTGTTTGAAAACCACTACTCTAGACTTCAAGACTTCAAGACACTGTATACCTTCCAGAGGGCGTCAAAGACGAGCTCTGTCATATGGAAGCAGGCCATAGACTAGTTTGGGAGGTGTCTGTTCCAGGAACCTCAAAATAAGCAGGAAACTTTAATTCAGTATTTAGTTGCACATTAGTCCTTTTGCCTCTTTGAATAAGGCACTCCATAAGGAATTCAATTTAGGTTCAGCTGGATTTGGAAGATATGTCAAAGGAAAAACCACCTGTCCATGTTAGGTCAAGAAGATCAATGGCATGCCATGTCTCTTGAGGCAAGGTGATGGCAGGTGCAGAGATTTGTGAGGGTCCAATTTCCACACTGCCCCTAAAAGAGGGGCATCTCAGCAGGAAAGAGTTGGAATTCTGTGGAGGATCATTCTTTCAATCTTTCAAACGACAGGGAGTTTGAGACCTACGGAAGTAGCAGTCTAAATGAATGCACAGCAGACAGGCAATGGGGACTGAATTTCTAACTCCAGTTCCTAGATTGTCTCCACTATAGACTTTCCTCTGGGAAATATAACTCTCCAAATAGTCTTTTAAAACTACTTTGGTTCCAGCTTGCTTTCCATTCTTCTTCTTCATTTTTTTCTTTTCTTTCTTCTTTCTTTCTTTTTGGTGTGATATATATACATTTGTGTGTGTGTGGGTGCTTGCCTATTTTTGCAAGTGTGGAGGCCAGAGGTTGAAGTTGGGTGTCTTCTCTCATTTATATTTTATTATTTTTTCAAACAAAGTCTTTTACTGAACCTAGATCTCATTGTTTTGAGTAGACTAACTGGTCAACAAGATCCCAGGATTCTCCTGTCTCTGCTTCCCCAGCACTGGGGTTATAGAAGCCACCATGCCTGGCTTTTACATGGGCACTGGGGATCCAAACTCAGGTCCTCATGCTTATACAACCTTACTCACTGAACCATTTTCCTGGCCCATGATTCTTTTTCAATAGAGAGGCAGCCTATGGAGTAGGGACTTTAGATGTGCTTGTCACTATGCCTTAAATACATTGACTGTTTTAAACCAATCAGGTTAACATTTCAGGAACTTACCCTTGAATGGGCTGACTGCAAAGAGTCTAGACCAAATCCTAGGAGTCAAAGAGATATGTACAACTTTTCCTGATCTCTCATTTTCACTGTGTACCCCATGCTCTTCCCCATCTTACCTTGGCAGCTCTTGGATACACCAGAGTCTGGTAAATGACAATTGGGCCTGGGGTCTTCACAGAGGTATCATTGGATGAGTACCAGTTGTAGAAACTGTTGCTATTCTGTGGAGGCTGGTTTTCCCCTGTGGCACTCCAGTAGGTGTAGAGGCCATCTGTGGCTTTGACAGGTGCTGCAGACTGGGCTCTCCCATAGGCCTCCAGACCCATCCTATCCTTCTCACTGGTGGCACTGAAAGAAAGCAAGGAGGAGCTTCGCTGGCGTATCTGCTGGTTGCCAAAGCTGTGGGTACTGAATGTGACCTTCCTGGCAATCATCATTTCTGAATGCGTGGGATACTGGGTGGGCAGAGAGCCTCTTGAGGAGCAAGTCTTCTTGGGTTCCATGGGAAAGAGCTTGTGGATGGCACTGGAGAGTTCACTGAAGTCCAAGGGTATGCAGTTCAGGGAGTGTAGCCGCAGATGAGGGTCTGGCCTGAAGGTGCTCTGGATGCCCTCCTCGATCTGGTCCACTAGGATCTTGGCAGACTGCAGGAACGCCACCTGGCCTGTCTCCTTGAGGGCTTCCTTAGAGTAGGCGATCAGGCCATCCATTTCGTTTACTTTCATTGAAGTGACATTCACATACTTTTCAATCTCCTTCTGCCTGGACACTTCTAGGTTCTCTACCTGTTCCATGATGATTTTCTCTTTTTCCTGAAGGATGGAACGCAGTTTGAGAAATCCATTTCTGATCTCTTTTCGCTTCGCCTCCTTGTCAGCTTTAAAGCTGCTTTTTAAAATGTTGAATTCCATTAGGTCATTATCAATTTCATATCGGACTGAAAAACAATCAAGTTGGTCACTATTAAAATTTTCATCTCCCCATGTGTTAAACCATAGCAAATCTCTATGCACTGAAGGATGGAACGCAGTTTGAGAAATCCATTTCTGATCTCTTTTCGCTTCGCCTCCTTGTCAGCTTTAAAGCTGCTTTTTAAAATGTTGAATTCCATTAGGTCATTATCAATTTCATATCGGACTGAAAAACAATCAAGTTGGTCACTATTAAAATTTTCATCTCCCCATGTGTTAAACCATAGCAAATCTCTATGCACTAAAGGAAATGAGAGAGAGAGAGAGAGAGAGAGATCTGAGCAAGGGTATTAGTAAGGAAGAAAGGGGGGGAAGTACAGGCACCTTAAGTGGGAAAACCATGATAGAGGGGGGAGACGATACAAGAGAGAAACAATGCCTAGCTAGTCACGAAAACCAGAGGGAACC